TGCATTCCCTGTGCGGTACTCTTCCCACATACGAGCCGCCAAGAAACGCTGTTCATGCTTCCTTGGACGTGCGTGTCACCGCCGTGAGTACTACTAGAACGACGTACTTCACGGACGCGAACCAAAGCGGTTCAGAAGCCTCGTGCGACAGTGCCGTCGCACTGCGGCGTACTATCGCGCTACTCCGTGCCGAGACTAACAAACTGACCGTGTTGATCGCCGAGCGAGCTCCTACAATGTTGCCAGCATTGCGTGACATTACCGCAGTGTTGGATGTAACTGCCTCATACTACCTCATACGAAAAGGTGAAGAACTTGCTAATAAATTTAGCGTGTACTTCGCAACGCTTGTGTCCTCTGATTTATCAAACCCTTCTCGTGCCTGTAATAGTGATTACAGGGACTTTCTAGGTGTGCCAAACATGAGCACTGCATAATTTTTAAACACAACTCCTGAAGAAGTATTGTCTGTATGTATGTCACTGAAAACACTACTGCTCGGGATATAGATGACCTACAATTTAAGCCTATTAAAGCAGCACTTGATCTTTTGTTACCTGTTCTTACCCATCTGTTTATTATCTGCTTATCTACGGGGGAGAAAGAATGAAGCATGTGAGAGTTATTGTCTTATACAAATCTGGTGACCGAAATATCTTTTCTAATTATCGTGCAATCTCCATACTTCCTCTTATATCTAAAGGGCTAGAGAAAATCATATATCAACGTGTCATGTATTTTTCTGAAAAGTACTCTATATTATCACCGCATCAATTTGACTTCCGACGGGGCATGCCCACGGAACTGGCTCTCCTCACACAAAAAAAACTCGTACTTAACTCATTTGAAAAGAAACTGTTAATACTGGGTGTTTTTATTGACTATTCCAAAGCATTCCATAGAATCAACCACGAAGTACTCTATGCAAAATTGCGTAATTATGGTTTTCGGGGAAACCCACTTGACTTTCCGAAATCTTATTTATCATAAAGAAAGCAAAGTGTAGTTATAAATGACAGCCAATCCTCCCTACTAACCATAACGTCAGGTGTACCTCAGGGCAGCATATTAGGGCCCCTACTGTTTAATAAACGACATAACAAGTGTCAGCAAATATGTGGACTTTATAATTTATGCAGATGACACTAGTATAATTTTTCATGGTAATGATTTAGGTAAGCTTGCAGACTCAGCCAACAACATTCTTAACGACATCTTCATATGGAGTACTGCAAATTATTTAATGATCAACACACAAAAATCACAAGCTGTGGTATACGCACCGGTTCAGAAGGCTGTCTGTCGGGGTTTAGATATATACCTAGGCCCCGAAAAAATGGAGTTTGTCAAAGAAGTTTCATGATTAGGAGTAATTTTTAATGAAATCCTTAATTGGGACGTACACGTTAATAATGTAACTAGAAATATAGCTAGGACATGTGGTGCTCTCTCTAAACTTCGACAGATACTTCCAGCAAACATTAAACATTTACTCTATAATACGTTTCTTTTTCATCTCACATAAACTATTGTAGTCTAGTGTGGGCAGATACATCTAAAGCAAATCGGAACAAGATATTTTTACTTCAGAAAAAAACAATTCGTCCTATTGCAAACGTACCATACGACGCACATACAAGTCATTTATTCAGAGAATATAAGAATTTATCGATCGATCACATACACAGCTTCAACCTTATTATGAAATGCAAACAAAGCTTGTTATCAACCAACGCTTGTTTTCTTAAACTGTGTAACCTCAGAAAAAATACACAATCCCATTATGACATTCGGAAAAGGCCTTCCTGGTTCGTTCCTTATTCGCGAACTAATCATGGTTTGACAAGACTTGAACACTGTATTCCAGCTTGTTTTAACATGTTTGAAAATAAAAACATCGACATCTTCAATATACATAAAAAACAACTCAAGAACCTTCTCATTCAGAATGGCGGCGTGTAGTTTAGCTTCTTCTAATTGTCCGGCTACAATATTATATGTAAAAGAAACACCCTATAATAGTGCTCGTGTGTAACATGGCATCCTATGATGTTTGCTTTCTTTGACATTTTTTTCGTTGCCTTTTTTACGAGTAAAACATGCAACATTTCACTCGTCAGTGTCTCCCTTGTGCATCAAAAGTTGTGCTTTTCGCGTACCCAGTGTTGTAAACGTTGTATAATCATTTTGTAATACTTTGGTAGCCATTTAGCAACGTGTGCATTGTTTCAGGATTGACCGTACGCTGTTTTCTTTGTTAAATGTTGTTTTTCTCTCTTTGTGATTTGCTTATTTTATGTAAACCTGAATATGATGTAATTTTGATGCATTTTCTTTTTATTTCCTAATTTCTTGAAGTTTTTATATCGATGTCAAATTGTTTTTTCATGTTTGTGCTCTGCGGATTTTAGTAATGCAGAGTGAAAAGGGGTAGGAGCCTCGTCAAGCTGCTAACAAAGCAGCTTTTTGCTCTTATCCTTGCGTTTTCTTTTTCGCAACTCTGTGAAGAAAATGCTCAATAAAACTGAAACTGAAATTGAAACCTTGAGGCAAGCACACCGGAGCAACGCTGGGAGCTTCGGTCTTCTCTCATCGAGCTCTCACACCAGCTCGACTGCTTCGTGTCGGTGATCTCTGCGTTGCCACATGCCACCTCACAATCACCAGCCGCCTGCGAACTGCCGGAATTCCACGGGGTCCGGAACGACGCTGACAGCTGGGTGGCAGTCGTCAACGCGATAGCAATGCGCGAGGGCTGGACGGAATCTTAGAAATAGACCGTGGCTGTAGACCGTCTTCGGGAAGGTGCAGTGGCGTGGCACAGGTATGAAGGCTTCAAGCAGAAGTCCTGGGTGGAGTGGAGCTCCAAGCTCATAGCTGCCTTCAGCCGGACAATCTTCGATCTCCCTTCCACCACTCAGTTCAACCTGACGACTACCGAGGATAAGGCGCAGGAGGGTTTCCGCCTCCAGGTTGCAGTCATGCGTTGCAGTTCACTTGAGCTTTCGGATTCTTTGTCGTCGTCCAATTCAAGTTCAGCTCAGCCAAAGACCACTATCGAAGACGGGTCTCGTGAAGGACGTCACTCAAACGACATACCCACACTGAACCATTCCGAATGTGCAGCTGTACCCTGCATGAGCTTTGATGACCTCTTGGCTGAACACTCCGCAGGGTACACTGAAACAGGCTTCAAGGCAGGCGTCGCTCTTCCGATGCCAGGTTCCACACCGGGACCCATCTCACGAACTTCCGTGCCAGCAACCAATGCCATTTCCAAGACAGAGCTGTCGGAGACAACCGTGGATAGCAAGGAGACAATCTTGGACCAGTGTGTACCACATCTGCAGTCATTGGCCGAGCGTGTGAGCTACATCGATGCGTTCCAGGCAGAGAGAGCCAGCATCGGCCTTTCCGGCAACATGATGTACGATCTTGCCGACGACGACAAGCGCGCCATTCTGACTCCCAACGTACAACCTGATCGTTGCGCAGACCCCCATGAAGTCGTCACCATAAAAATCGCCCCTGATTGTTCAGGCCGTGACCAGCTCGGTCAAAACAAGAGCGATAACAGCAAGGAAGCTGTGGGCACGTCGCATCATGATTGTGTCCAGTGGCTGGTCAGCACTCTCACTCACCCTCTGTTGCGCAAGCATTTTCCGGCTCGGCATTGAAATGCGCATAAAAACCACACCAACCCACTCAGACGACATAAATGTCTACTCGGCAAGCAACAACTGTTCCAACACACACACTGTCGCCCACCAAATCTCTACACCATGTTACAGCGTCGTAAAGACAGACCACCGAGGTACAACCAGTTTCATACCCCCGAGTCTTCATCAACCAAGGTGCGAGCGAATACCAATGCCCAACGTCAACAACGACACTGTAGCCGACCAAGGCAACAAATACAGTATCAGCGTGCCAAGTCGCAGCCTAGAGGGGTCCGGCCCAGGCGAGGAAGTCAATGCCACCCGCTAGAACTGTTTTCACCAAGTCTTCCGAACACGTCAAACCTTGGACGAGATCAACCACGACGATGCAGTCAGTCTCGACCTCCCGATAGACTTGTGGCAGACTCCGGCACCCAGTTCCAGCGTAGTCGAGGCCGACCTCCGAGATGCAGCCAGTGTCGACCACCAGATCTACTTCTGGCAGATACCCGGACTGAATCGCAGCATGGCCGAGAGCGTCGGCCGCAACGGTGTAGCCAGTGCCGGCCGCCTGAGTCGACAGCACTTTTTCAAGAGACATCGTGGCGTGCAAAAGAGCGACCGGCTCGAGGCAGCCAGTGCCGTCCACCAGAGACGCTATCCTCAGACCGTCGCTCCATCTTGCATTGTGGTCCGGGCTGACCACCACGATGCAGTCAAGCCTGCCCACCAGAAACTTTGCCACTAGCTCCGCGCGCGCGCAGTCATGGCCGAGTGTCATGACCAAGAAAGACACTGGGGCTCCGGCGCGCGGATAGCTAGAGGAAGGAAGAGAAGAACAAAGTGAGAATAAGAACAGCTGGCCCAGGATCGGGTGTTGTCTCTTGTTCTCTGTCTAGTACATCACAATATATATATATATATATATATATATATATATATATATATATATATATATATATATATATAAGTGTGTGTGTGTGTGTGTGTGTGTGTGTTTGCTGCTCTCAAACATTCATTTTGAGAAGGCTAATGCATACAGCTCTACACGCGAGGAGCGAACTGTGCACAGGCTATAACAATCGTTATATTAAGAAAAGACGCTGCTGATATCTGAGCTAAGTCTGCATCTCTTCAGCTATGAGGAACGGACATGTTATTGGTTCCTTTTATCAAGCCTACATTCTGTAAAAGCAAGCTTCCTGAGTGCAGACATAAACTATTATCTGTAGACACCTTGATGAGTGGACGCTCTGAAAAAAAAGCAACCTACAACACCCACCCAATTAGGCACTGGTTCAATGACAGTGTTCCTATGGACAGAAATTCATTCGATTATGTGGAAACAAATATTTATTTTTGATTTTGCAGACATCTGTTTTACTGACATGCCAGAGAACGAGCCAGTGCTGGTTTGTTAACTTTTGCAGTCTCGGTCTTCGGTAGGCAGTCCACAATAAAAACGCCTCCGTAGAGGTGCTTATGCACAGGAAGGTTATCTGCGAGAATGAAGACAAAATGTTGTTCACAATGGGATCATTGTTGGAGCTCAGAAAACCATGAAACCTTAAAAATGTTTGGCTCCTAAAAGGTGCACCAACACCAATTTTAAAGATTTTTGGTTGTTGCTTTGGAATGAACGCGTGATTGTCGAGAGCCCTAAAAATGCAGCTGCTTGAGTGAATTGAAGACATTCTGTATATACCGCTTCATTGACACAGCAATTTTGGTTTGAACCGATAAGATGACGTCGCAGTGACAGGTAAACAGAAGCCTGACGTTACAAAATATATGCAACATGTGACATGCTAACAAGCACTGCCTCTTTAGTATTCACGTAAACAAGGATGAGTTTGTTACCGTCCAGAGACTTTCACAGAAATTTTTGCAATATAGGCAGCAGATAGAACCAAAATTTCGCAAATCTAGTGAACTGTGTTTACTTGTCGGAGTAATGTTCAATGTGGCACAGTTGATGTGATGACTGTGTGAGGTGTGAGACGAACTTCCCATGCATATATATATATATATATATATATATATTAAATATTATATATATATATATATATTGTCACAGGTAATGGGTATGAGCCATCAACTGTAGGCGGAATCCCTTTGAAGTGAAGAAAGAAGAGGGCTTTTTGCGTCCTGGTCTGAGGGCAAGCAAGACGTCGTTTCGTCGCTGTCTGTTATTACGTTCGCGGCACTGGTGGAGGTGCTGGGTAAATGCGCCTTGGCTGCAGATTTTCAGCTGACACACCAAGCTACTTGGAGACAGCTACAGCTCCCACGGCAAGAAGCAGTCGCCGCCTGCGAGGACTATCTCCCGAGTACGGTCCCCTCTCTCAAGACGAGATGGCAACTTCTACTAACAACCAGGCGAGTCAAACCAACGACGCCTATTCTTTTCTCCCGCATGTTTTTCATGCGCCGCAAACGCCACGCTCATTTCATGGAGATATTTATGAAGATGTTGACGACTGGCTTGACCACTTCAATCGAGTTGCCAACATCAACGAATGGGATGAAGCTCGCAAGCTGCGGAGAGTTTACTTTGCATTAGAAGACTCTGCCAAAACGTGGTACGAGAATCACGAGGGTTCCTTTGCGACTTGGCATGAGTTCAGCCGACAGTTTCGTGATGCGTACCGCAGCACTGAAAGGAAAGAAAGAGCAGAGCAGGCTATCTCGTCTCGGAACCAACGACCCAACGAGAGAGTTTCGATGTTTGTCGAGGACATGCTGCGACTCTTCAAGCGTGCTGACCCTGCAATGTCCGAGGAAAAGAAGGTGCGGCATTTAATGCGTGGGGTAAAAGAGCAGCTCTTCGCCGGACTCGTGCGCAATCCACCGACGACTGTGGCAGAGTTCATAAATGAGGCAACCACAATGGAGCGTACTCTCCAGTATAGGTCGTCACAGTATGAACGCCACGACGTGACCCCTGCTGCATGCTTTATCGGGGCTGACAGCGAGAGGCATGCCCTCGCTGAGTTCATAAGAAGCGTCGTGCGGGACGAGCTGCGCCAATTCCAAGCAGCGGGACCCCAACCACCCGTAAGTGCTTTCACAGACTTAACCCCGAAATGAGATCCGACAGGTGGTCACCCCACTCGCGCCAACAAGGCCTGAGGCCCCTGTACTGACTTATGCGGCGGCTCTGCGATCTCCTGCACCACATGGCCTTGATCCCACCATGGGGAGAATGGATCAGGCTAGCCATCGATTCCAGGGCACCTCTTCGACTCCACCACCCGCCTCAAGGTTTCCGAGTGCACCAACTTATTGTTCGTCTGGATCGCGGCAGAACGCCACAAAGGCCAGCGTGTGGCGTACGTCGGATAACCGACCACTCTGCTACCACTGTGGCGAAGCGGGTCACGTCTACCGTAACTGCCAGTACCGCCAACTTGGTCTCCGTGGCTTTCACCCTGATGCACGGTGCCCGCGTTACGGTGAGCGTCCCCGCGACATTGAAGCGTACCTCACGGGCCAGCAAGCTCCTCGCCTTGGTCAACGCCCAATTTCAAGATCACCATCACCTCGCCGCCCCACGTCACCTAGCATTCCCTCGTCATCTTTTGCTCCTTTCAGAGGCCGGTCACCGTCCCACAGGGGAAACTAGAAACCGCGGCTCCTGGGGATGAAGCCGCGTCCAAACGAACTGTCAAAGAGCCTCCTTCGACGCAAAGATCCGACGAAGACCGTTCTGACTTTCCAGTCGTTTCCGAAAGTCATAAGACTGTTTCCGCCGACATCACCGTACACGTCGATAATCACGTCGTCACTGCCCTCGTCGACAATATATGCACAAGGGAGATTGGCCCCACTGTACCTTATAATGTAAATTTTTTATACAATGCTTGCTGAAAGAGTGAGAAATCTGATAAGAACAATAATAATGTTCCTTTCAAAAAGTGAGAAGGGCAAAAGAATTCGGTGAACCAAAACATATTGAAAAATTTGCAAAAAAGAAGAAGGGGGACAAATAATTGGATCCCCCAGAGTGGGTATGAGCCATAGATTAGAGGCTACAAACAAACAAATTGGATTCATATGGCGGTACCACTAGCAGCTTATCCGTCCGGTTGCCTGAATAAATTTATGTAGCGCTTATAGAATAGCACTGTGGCCTGCACCCCAATGACTGGCTCCAAACTATAAAAAGGTGGATGTATTAAATGCCCATTCCAGCATACCAATCGGTCTCTCAAGAATTATTCGGCAAAGTGAGGCGAAACGGCGGCACGTGAAAAGGAAGTGATCTATTGTTTCCAGTTCATTAAAAACTGCGGGTTAGTTAATGAAAATCCTGATTTGTGGAGATAATAATTTAACCGAAAAACTCTACGGCGAAAGCTTGTGACGGTCACCTCACATTGACGAAAAAGGCATTTTGTGGTGTTTCATGTTAATTGCAAGTGCCGAAATTCATAATAGATTTTTGGAGCGATGTTTCATTCTTTTTTAAAGACTAACAGGCATTTAAATCGTTAGTCAGTAACAAACGCAAACCGAGGAGCCACTAGTACAACCGGAAAATTTAAAGATGCTGAAGCGAGCGAGCCAGCAGTTTCATTAAGTGCAATTCCAGCATGCCCGGGGAGACAAAAAAAACTGAACTTCTGATGGGCTACGTAGCATGAGAGACCAAATATTCTTGAGAAGAGAAGACTGCTTTGCGGACGTTAAATGCGTACAAATAGACAAAGAATCTTAAATAATGATAGCTTTCAATTGCTGAGAACTTAGTTTTCAAAGAGCCAATGTAATTGCCAGATATTCTGCGAGATAAATTGGCGTGAAGCCAGGCAATCGTAGCGCAAAAGACCAATTAAGCTGATGAGAAAAAATGCCTACCCCACCTGCCGAAGATTTTGCGTTGCATCCGTCGAAATTACCACATAAGTAGGAAAATGGCAAAGGTTGTTTTGAAGGAGGCCCTCCAGAACATGCTTTGGAAGTAACTTAGCATTTTTTTGGAAAAATGACATCGAAAACTAAATCAACTGGCATCGCGCATAGGGTTTGGGGAGGTAAATGCTGAAGGGAAACATGAAGATTCGATAATAGAGGCTCGTTGAAGATGACTTGGGGTCTTTGATAACGACGCCATAGGCACTTATTGAAAGAATCTAGATATTTGATGAAAACTCTGTGAACGAAAAGGGGCGCATCGTAGGGTTTTTAAAATATTTCTATGGTAACTTGTATGGTGCGCTGTCAAAATCTTGTATCAAGTGGAATGATTTGAGCTTTCAAATAAATCACGCTGTTCCCAACACACCGAGGTAGCCTGGGACACAGCCGCAGAGCTTGCCTTCTTAGCATTATAAGAGGTACTCAGCACTTCTCTTTGTACTCAGCACTTCTGGAAAACAGAACGCAACCAAACTCCAGAATTGAGCGTACGTAAAGTTTGTATATCATAGGTAACATATCCCTGCGTATTCCTGAATTGATGATGATGATATATGGTGTTTTTTGGCGCAAGGGCCATTTGATGGCCAAAGAGCGCCAGTTCATGGGACAACGAATGTGGACAATGATTGTGATTAGCGGCTGTATAAGGGCCATAAAATTCCTCGCGGTAAGGCGGGTAAAAACATACAAGTAATAAAATCATGACCATGCCGTGAAATGTGTGTGTGGTGTGAATAGATGACAAAAGTTGGTGATAATGTAAAACGATGGTGGACATGTATGGCATTAGCACAAGTACCTCACTCGTTCATACCCTTGCGTCCACGGGCCGTGAGGCAAGTGCTTTCCTGTGTAGCCACCGCAGCAAAAACCTCCCTGGAGAGGTCGTGCTACGGGATGCCCGGGTATATGATATGAAAATTATGAATTTCTTTTAAAAACGCTAACAATGATTTATGACCAAAAAGCGGTTCTCTACCAACGAACATTGCAGGGTGTAAAGGTAATGTTGTCGGTAGGGTAATGGAAAATGCTGTTTTCTTAGAGTTTCTAATTGATTGCATTGGATTAAAACGTGAAGGACTGTTGATGCCTCACCACATTTGTCACACAATGGTGGATCGCCACCGGACAAAAGATATATGTGTGTCGTGTATGTGTGTCCTATCCTGAGTCTTGTTAGTATTACCTCTGTATGACGTGATTTTGATACTGGCAGCCAATGACCAAGGTGTGGCTTAATAATGTGTAGTTTGTTTTGTGTGGGTGTATCCCACTTGCTCTGTCAGTAGTCCCTGAGGTTTCGTTTGAGAGACGGCTTAAGATCAAGGGCCGGGATTAATATGGGTGTAGGTGCATTGCTTTTGTGGACGGATGCAGCGAGCTGATCCGCCCTCACGTTGCCTTGGATCTCACGGTGCCCTGGCACCCAGCACACTACAACATGTTGTTTGAGTGTGTAGAGTGTGCACAAAATAGAGTAAAGTGACACAAGGACCGGGTTTTTTTTGCTTTTTAAGACTGTGCAGAGCCGTTACCACACTGAGGGAGTCTGTATAAATTACTGCTTTTTGTA